GCTTTCATTCCGCTTTTCCTTTCTGTTTTATGGACTGAGGTCGACCTATGATGATTTTGAGGTCGACCTGTGATGTCTTTCTATTATTTCTGGCCGTGTTTTGTAGATATGTAGCTTGAAAAAGAGGGATTTTCACTTTTGTACGCCACGTGCGGTCGACCTTCCCATGTTCGTGGTCGACCGCATCTGGCTTTCATTCCGCTTTTCCTTTCTGTTTTATGGACTGAGGTCGACCTCTTTAGATTATGAGGTCGACCTGTGAAGTTTTGCACTCAATTGGTACCATCATTTGGGGCATTTTATGCTCGTTTTCATTTAGCCGAGGTCGACCTATGATGGTTCTGAGGTCGACCTATGAGGGCAAAAGTGCGAGTTATTGTCTCATTGTATTTCAAATTGTGTGAAACTACCACTGGTCGACCTCTTCAGATTATGAGGTCGACCGGATCTGTTTTGCACTCAATTGGTACCATCATTTGGGCCATTTTATGCTCGTTTTAATTTAGCCGAGGTCGACCTATGATGGTTCTGAGGTCGACCTATGAAGGCAAAAGTGAGAGTTATTGTCTCATTGTATTTCAAATTGTGTGAAACTACCACTGGTCGACCTCTTCAGATTATGAGGTCGACCGGATCTGTTTTGCACTCAATTGGTACCATCATTTGGGCCATTTTATGCTCGTTTTCATTTAGCCGAGGTCGACCTATGATGGTTCTGAGGTCGACCTATGAGGGCAAAAGTGCGAGTTATTGTCTCATTGTATTTCAAATTGTGCGAAACTACCACTGGTCGACCTCTTCAGATTATGAGGTCGACCGGATCTGTTTTGCACTCAATTGGTACCATCATTTAAGGCATTTTATGCTCGTTTTCATTTAGCCGAGGTCGACCTATGATGGTTCTGAGGTCGACCTATGAGGGCAAAAGTGCGAGTTATTGTCTCATTGTATTTCAAATTGTGTGAAACTACCACTGGTCGACCTCTTCAGATTATGAGGTCGACCGGATCTGTTTTGCACTCAATTGGTACCATCATTTGGGCCATTTTATGCTCGTTTTAATTTAGCCGAGGTCGACCTATGATGGTTCTGAGGTCGACCTATGAAGGCAAAAGTGAGAGTTATTGTCTCATTGTATTTCAAATTGTGTGAAACTACCACTGGTCGACCTCTTCAGATTATGAGGTCGACCGGATCTGTTTTGCACTCAATTGGTACCATCATTTGGGCCATTTTATGCTCGTTTTCATTTAGCCGAGGTCGACCTATGATGGTTCTGAGGTCGACCTATGAGGGCAAAAGTGCGAGTTATTGTCTCATTGTATTTCAAATTGTGCGAAACTACCACTGGTCGACCTCTTCAGATTATGAGGTCGACCGGATCTGTTTTGCACTCAATTGGTACCATCATTTGGGCCATTTTATGCTCGTTTTCATTTAGCCGAGGTCGACCTATGATGGTTTTGAGGTCGACCTATGAGGGCAAAAGTGCGAGTTATTGTCTCATTGTATTTCAAATTGTGCGAAACTACCACTGGTCGACCTCTTCAGATTATGAGGTCGACCGGATCTGTTTTGCACTCAATTGGTACCATCATTTGGGCCATTTTATGCTCGTTTTAATTTAGCCGAGGTCGACCTATGATGGTTCTGAGGTCGACCTATGAAGGCAAAAGTGAGAGTTATTGTCTCATTGTATTTCAAATTGTGTGAAACTACCACTGGTCGACCTCTTCAGATTATGAGGTCGACCGGATCTGTTTTGCACTCAATTGGTACCATCATTTGGGCCATTTTATGCTCGTTTTCATTTAGCCGAGGTCGACCTATGATGGTTCTGAGGTCGACCTATGAAGGCAATTTTGTATTTGAATTGTTACGGGTTTATATCGACCCATTCTCGTTTTAAATTAGCTGAGGTCGACCTATGCTTCTTCTGAGGTCGACCTGTTCTCGTTTTAAACTAACTGAGGTCGACCTGTGTTTCTTCTGAGGTCGACCCATTCTCGTTTTAAATTAATTATGGTCGACCGCTTTATGGAGTGGTCGACCGCGTATTGTTCATTTCGAAAATTGGACTAATGTGTATTCTTGCTTCTTTGATCGCAGGATGTTTGGCGGCAAAAAGAAAAGAAAGACACAAAAAGCTGCTGCTTCAAGTTCGGAATGGGAAGAGTTCAATTCGAATTTGTTCCAGTCGAAGGAGCAAAGTGAGAACTACGAAGAGAAGAGTATGCACAACCGGAGGGTGGTTCCGGGAAGGCCATTGACGACGGATGCGTATTCTCATTTCGAGAATTACGGGTTTCTGGGACCCTTCGTCGATCAGGAGTGGTTGAAGGTGATATCACTCAATGTACCATACTACCCAAAAATGGTACAATACTTCTACAACAACATCTCCTACGAGCGCAATGCAAATGGATCCATTCACACATTCAAATCCTATGTGAATGGGGTGGCGATGCGCATCAGCAAGAATGTGTTGGCGCAAGTACTGGAGGCTCCAAACGCGGGGAGGAGAATCAATTCTTACGGTGCTTGGAATGAAACGCATTACACGAGAGCCAAGCAAATCCAGACCGTATGTGGTCTTGATGAAGAGGAACATGCTGAGGGGCGCAATAGGCCATCGAGTAACCACCTGACAGTTCAAGCCAGAGTTCTTCACCACATGCTTTCCTACAACATTCTGCCAAAGGGTGGACATCGGGAGACAGTCACCTACTTCGACATGGAGCTCCTCACCAACCTACTGTTAAACGAGAAGGTGAACTTGCCATACTTGATCTTTAACCACATGCTTACTGCTGCTGAGAGTTCAAACAGGAATCTTCCCTATGGGATGATCCTCACTGTGATATTTGAGCATTTTAATGTGAATTTAAGTGAAGAGGTGGGGTTATCGATCTCAAGGCAGGAGTTCTATACTGTTTCATCTCTGAAAAAGATGGGCTTTGAGCTGCGTAATGGTGAGTATGTCAGAGCAAACATTGCTCATGCTGGTGGTGGTGATGATGATGATGATGAGGATGATGATGGTGATGATGGTGATCAAGGAGCTCGAGACGAGCCAATGGGGGAGGCACAGACTTCAACTCCACCGATCACCTTACAGCGTGTGTGGGAGCGCATGGATGGCATGTACGAGTACATGGGCCAGATGAACGCCCAGATGACTGGCATGTACGACTACATGGGGCAAATGAACGCCCAGATGAGCACAATGCAGCTGTCCGTGAATGAGATGCGAGATGAGTGGCGATCTTTCAGCGGAAGATACATGCATCCCACCACATCTGACCACCATGCTACCACCACCAATGAAGAAAATGAAGAAAATGTGAATGAGGGAGAGGGGGGAGATGAGTAGTTTTTAGTTTTATTTTTTTAGTTTTATTTTTATGTTATTTTTTTAGTTTTATTTTTATGTGTGAACAATTATGCTATGATGGTTTTTTTAGTTTTATTTTTATGTGGTGAACAATTATGCTATTTTATGTGTGTTTTATTTTTAGTTGTTATGCTATGGATTGATGAGTCCTTGTTATAATTGACTAATTATGATGGTTTGAAACATAATTTATACGATTAAATTAACCACACAAATCGACATACATAACCAAAAAAGACACGGGGCATAGGTTGACTTTCTTGTATTCGGTCGACCTCGTACAGGATTAGGTCGACCGAGAAACCAACACTTGATCTCCATTTTACGTCAAATGATTGGACACTTTGATAGAACACTTATCTTCTATCTGGTCGACCTCTTTCCTTATCCGGTCGACCATTTTGTTAATTACTGCCATCAAGTGGTCGACCTATATATTAGGTGGTCGACCATGTTGTTTCTGACGCCAACGAAATGGCCGACCGAGGTTCTATTCTGGTCGACCAAAAATACCAACTTAAACTAAATGCGGTCGACCAGGTGGTCGTGGCGGTCGACCGCAAGGCTTTCTCGTGCTGCCCAAATTAGACTATTCGGTCGACCGCCCTTAGGAATAGGTCGACCGAAAAGTGCATGTCACCGTGACATGCATGTCATAGTAGGCATACCCTAATTCCTAATATTAAGATTCATAACCCGAATCCTTTTAGATTTTGATTAAAGTGTCTCAATGATTTATTATTTATAAATACATGTTGTAATTTGTAAGTTGTAATCAAAAGTGAATTTTATGTTTTGTTTTTTAAAAAAAAAAAAATTTGTAACGACAACAACTTTTTTTTGGGTTGCGTATTAGGGGCATTAGGCAACTCAAGTTGGTTATGTGTTGTATTTGTGTTATATTATTGGCAACACATATATGACTTTGTGTTGGAAATAGAAAAGAAATTCCTTGATATTAGCAAATTGGCGGGTCTCAGCAAAACCAAAATGTTACTTTGGGGGGAACTGAAAAGTAACGGCGGACTCTTTTCATTCTGCCCTAAACCTTCCCCCAAATAGAGAGAGCGTATGAAAATCCCAGAAATTGAACCTAGAACCCCATTCCTTTTCCCAACTCCTTCATCCATGGCGCCGATTGCATTCCTTTTCCCCTTGTGTTTGATTGATTCAATATATCCCCTATCTACCCGATTGCTCATCCAGTCTCTCTTTATTGTTTGAAAGACAGATAGAAAGCCAAAGCTTTACTCCAAGCGAAATTGATCGAGCTCCGAATTTGAGCTTATTTGAAAGGACTTTCACTTCAATCCTTCTCCGCCTTAATACACGCAAGTCCCTGCTGTCTACCTCATCGGGTTTGAAAATATTAAGGGGAGCATGGAGCAAACAGGTTTGTCATCAACGAGCCCTTTATTTGTTTTCAAATTCATTTAAACCTTCAGATATGGAAGTCATTAGCTTTCGTGTAAATTGCTATCACAGAACAATCTATTTCCTTCGAAACTGGGATCCTTGAATCCCCATGTGTCATCGATGCAGAGCTTCAGTTAGTTATAAGGACGTAATACCAACCACATAAAAAAAAATATAGGAGAAAGGGACTTACCGTACTAAAACCAACTATTTTCTTTATATTGTCTTCATATGAGGTCTGTGTTCTGACTCCTGGTGTCCGGCGAGTGTACCAAAAGACATACTTGTACTGGTCACATACACATTGAGAAACATAAGCACCATTTTAACATCAGAAAGGAAAAGTAGGAATATAGTCTAATAAAACGCATGAAGCAGCTTTGTAACTTTCTGAAGCATAATAAATTAGTAACAATTCTAACATCATGTACTTCAAGCACAAGTTTCATAACAATGATAAGGCATACATTCAGATGCTTGCACCAACCAGATATGCAATGCATTAGATTCCAATTCTGGTGCTGAAACTTCTCAAGAGATAAGAAGCCTCGCAACATATAATAAACCACATCTAATTTGAAGAGCCCACATCAGAGCTGCCATACTATTGTCTCTTCCTAATCCCACTTTCAAAGAACCAAGACCCAGATCAAAACAATAAGACTTCAAGACAAAAATCAAAAAATTTCAAGTATTTGGCTATTTGCCATCCCAGAATTAAAAACACGCATAACATCATTCATTCATTGATGGTGCACTCCAACCCAGCAATTTCTGGTCTAATCTCTGACCCTGAAAATCCAACCAATCCGAAATTCGTCCTCGCAGAATATAAGGCCAATCAGGCAGCACGAAAGCTAGGGAACCCGAGTCCAATATGCTGCTCGAGCCTGTGAGCTAAATTAATCTCAATCTTATTGTAAGACTCCCATTTTTTCAAGTATAGCCACCCCATTCGTCCTCCAACCGGGTAAAAAACAGAGGGTAATTTGTAAAGATTATCTGCCCGTCATTCTTCTCAAATTCAAACGAGAAACAAAAAAAACATCCTACATCGGACTAAGCACTTCATCAGAGTTGATCGGCAGGCATCGCAGAATCATCCTAATCAACAGCAAAACCCAACCTGAAACAGCATATAATATATAGAGAGAGGGACCTTGAGAGGGTGCAAACCGGCTTTGAGTTCACGCGCTTGGCGCTCTTCTGCCTCTTTATCGACGACGTCGGAGGCCACGGAATCGGGGCCTAAAATCGATTGCGCGTTGTTATGATTCTCCACCTCCTTCTTCTCCACTATTTCCATCACCTGGGCTGTGATTATATTTCTCTGCCTTCAAACCCTAATCCTCAATATTTTTCTCCCTATCTTTCCCAGCGCTCGTCCTCTGTGTGTGTGTGATATCGCGCGGAGAAGAAAAGAGAAGAGAAGAAAGAGAGGAAGCCACTAAACGCGAACCTAAATGGACAGTCAACAACAGAAACGTCGAGACGGGGTGTCGTTTGGGAGATGGGAATAAAGCTGGGCCTAACTATTTTCAACGACCCATGTAAACATAAATGGCCCAGCCCAAAGCGCAGAACCAAATATACCACATCGGCAACGAGAGGGAAGAAGAAAGAAGGTGAATAACAACAGCCACCATAATGGTTAGAAGTTTGTTATCAATATTTGGGATTATACAAACATACAGTAATAAGTTTTTGACTACTTGGTATTACCAAATACATATATATTTTAGGTATTGAGATTCATTTTGCAGTGCTATTCGGGATTACGGGATTGGAATCGGTAGGAAATACCAAGAAACTACGAAAATTGAAAATTAATGAAATATTACACACCACATTTGGTCATTCATCACTCTTTCACAACTCACGGGCCCCATCCAACTCAATTTTGGTTTTCCAAGTTTAAGATTTTCATAACACCTGTAAGCAAATACATACCTATATTTTAGGTATTAAGATTCATTTTGGAGTGTTATTCAGTATTCGGGATTACGGAATTGGAATCGGTAGAAAATACCAAGAAACTACGAAAATTGAAAATTGAAAATTAATGAAATATTACAGACAACATTTGGTCATTCATCACTCTTTCACAACTCACGGGGCCCCATCCAACTCAATTTTGGTTTTCCAAGTTTAAGTCACTCTCATCTCTTGTGATTTTCATAACACCCATAAGCAAACACTAGTATTAGTTGTCTCTCATCGTCCAATCCGTCGAATTAAAGAATAACAATAACAAAAACTTGAAAATATCACATTTCCTCCATTTTCCTTAGCCATGTCCTAACTCTAGGCTAACTCAAGAGCGTTTCTCTAGTCTTTTTGCACTAAATTAGACAACCAAATCTAATTTATATAACTAATTATTAATTAAATAGGTAATTAATGTAATGTTCAATAATACATATTGAAATACTGAAATATTTAGTGATTGAGATTAAGATACCAAAATTATTTAAAGAATGGGATTGTTATTGATTTTAACGTGTAATTCGACAGTTGAGATTTTGACATTTGATATCGGGATACCGATTCTGTACTGATTTCCATCCCTAGCCACCACTACCTTGCTTTAACAGGATCTACCTTTGTATCCTTAATCATAGCGTGATTGATGGCAATGATGGTCCTTGATGATCATCAAAACTATACAGGATCGTTCTTAGCGACAAAGATGATTTGAGATGGTCATGTGATAGTCTGACATATTGCTATATTTTTTTCTGCCCTACTACTATATTTGTCTGTATTTTTCCTTCTTTAGATGAAATTATTTTGCCCTACTGCCTCATGACCGGTAGCAGAAAGATATTTTCTTACCTCAACTCCATTTCTAAACAAAATATATTACAATAGTTAAATGGGAACTATAACTTTTTTGTCCTATTATGCTCCTATATTGCTGTTTTTATTTGTAGTTTTCCTTCTTTAAATGGATTTTTTCCCTGCTGCTTCATAACTATCAGTAGAAAGATATTTTCTTACCTCAACTATATTTATAAACAACATATATTACAGTAGTAATCATCCCATGCATATAGGGTGTTAGTCGGTGTGGTTTCGGTTTAACCGCACCGAAATATCGGTTAATCGCAACCAAAATTGTCCCAAGATCACTAACCGAAACCGACAGAGACTTCGGTTAACCGAAAACCGCAAACATCGGTTTCGGTTTTCCCTTGCGGTTAACCGAAATCGTAGTTTCTGGTTCACTTTTTCGGTTTTCGTTCAGAAACCGACCACCCAAAACCGAATTTCAACCACCTTTTTTAATGATTCACCCTCAATTTTTAAGTGACCTGCTTTTGTTTCAGCCTCTATAATCACACACCATAAAGTCATCTAAATCAATTGAACATAAAGCCTAAAGCAACCACACAATTCAACCACAACTCCGCAACATAAAGTCTACATGCCCACAATTCAACCACAAGTCACAATCACAACAAGACACAAATAACAAGTTCATTATCTCCAAATCATCAACCTAAATGATCCGAGGATCTCGCTCCAATTCATCTAGCCCATAGTCATCATTTACTCCAAGATCTTCATCTAGCCCATAGTCATCAACCTAAGGTTCACTCTATCGAGTGCAAAGGGGATTTAGAGAGGGGTGACTTTCGAGTTCTAACTCTTAAAAACATTTGAGACTCTTGATGGAGGGTTGTTTACAATAGGTGAGAATTGGGATGTTTGGAATTGCAACGTTGATTGGTTTTGAATCTTACAACTTTTTTCCTTAGCCAAAGTAAAAAATCATGTAGTCACACTAGTAGGCGGTTAGCGGTTAACCACTAACCAAAATACTACTAACCGAAACCGAAATCAATAAGGAAGTAGCGGTTATCGGTTAACCACTAACCGACTTTATCGGTTCGGTTATCGGTTAAAACCGATAACCGACTAACCGTTTATCACCCCTACATGCATATACCCAATTGCTCGTTGACTACCTGGATCCACAACGCAAAGTAACTTCACAATTGGAGCTATCAACTTAACTATGAAGCCACATTCACCCCAAAAGTGTTGATCTAGTACAATTGGCTTCGCATCTTTTCCAACCTGTATACTTGAGAAATCACACTCTCTAAAGCACTCACTAATCACCAGAGCCTCCAAATCATGCATTTGCTCAAGAATACTTTGCAAACTCAGAAATGTAGTGGCAAATCTAGTAGCATCAGGGTTCACTATGTCTTTTCAATACTCATTTGTCTTCAACCAGAAATAAATTGAACCATGATTGTAAACAAATTTAGATATCTTGGAAGATCTATATGCATGCCTCTTAACATGAGGCATATCTCCGATGTATTTCATGACCAAATTAAGATTATGAGCAACAGAAGGAGTCCGGTATACATGACTATAATGCTCATGTATCATTGACCTTACAGCTTGATAATTGGATGCATTATCAGTCACCACATGCACAACATTCACCATTCCAACCCAATCAATGTTCCACAAAAGAACTAAAACAAGTTTTTTCCACTCTTGACCACACCAGAAGCATCAATGAATATCACAAAGCACGTGCCATATTAGTCAACGCGTTTAATCGTCCAAGATAATGGTCAAATCTTGGTTTTGGCCAATTTCGTAACTTTAATGCATAGTTGACGCTATAATATTACAGATTAAGCTTGACCAAAATTTTTAATTTGTGAAAAGTTCGGACTATACAAATATATTATATTGACCATATTGTCAAAAGATGAATAGTTATCACTCTATAATAAGTGACTCATTCTCTTCTTTTTTTTCGTCATCAGCTTCACGTTTGGCATTTATAATTTCTGACCAAACTAAAAATATGTATATACAGTACACTGTGCACACGCATTAACAGTGAGGTCAATTTTTGAAAATAAAAAACCAGACAGAGAGAGAAAGAAAGAGACAGGAAGATATAAAAACGAATCGGCCAACGAAACGCCATTTTTCCCCTCTGCTTCCTGCCTTCTTCCATCTTCATCTTCTGATCAAATCTTCCTTTCTTCTTCTTCTTGATCCCGCTTTTCCTGCTCCCTACTACTTTTCTTTCATTAATCTGGGTGTGTTTTTCTTTTATTTCAATTTACCGTTCCTCTTCTTTTCTGCCAAGTTTCCCTTTTTGATTTTGTCGTCGGTGTTGTACGTGTTCTCCGATTCCCCGCCTCACGCTTCACAATGTCTCCGGCGGTGTCCGTTTTCCTCCTCCTGCTATCCCTCCGGCTCGCTTCGTCGCCGGTAGCATCGGCTTCCACGACCTGCCCTGTTGAATCGGTTATGTTGATTTACAATCTTCAATCTCAATGCCATCCTTCGATCTCCTCCAATCCCCCTCTCCAGGTAAACCCCTTCCCTCGCTTCTCTCCCTCTTCAGTCCTCCCATGATTGATCAGTTTCAATAAATGTCTGCAATTCGTGAAATTCTGTGCCACTTTGTCTTAATTGATCGATTTTGGTAGGGTGGTGGCAGTGGATTTGTTTATTAGGGTTTGTGATAAAGGAGCTGATAGCCGTTTCTGTACGTATCAAGTTTTTTAGGTTTCTGGGTTCTTGAGAAAAGATTTGAGATTAGGTTTGGAGTTCTTGGTGGCATCTAGCTAGGTTTTAAGGGATTTGAATGAAGGCCCCAGATTAAGATTGCATAACTTTAAGCGACCATATTGTTTGATTTGGTTATCCCCGTCAAAAACCTTCTTCCTCCACCCCCGGATTACGCATACTGCAGCTCTTGGTGTAAAGCTGTTGAATTTCTTCTTTGTATTGAGTTATGTGTTCTTTCTTTGGAAAAATAGGTGGATGGGAACTTTCTTGAGAGAGCTTTAAAGTCGGAGTGGACAAATGCTTACTCTTCTGTGCTCTTCTATGCTTCCTGGTGCCCCTTCTCCCGAAGCATGCTTCCTAAATTCGAAATACTTGCTGCCATGTTCCCTGAGATACAGCATTTGGCTGTTGAAGAGTCTTCGGTTCTCCCAAGGTATGGTAACAAAACATTACTTTTCACTATTTCTAGAAAATACTTTCCTGTTGCAGCTGAAATTGTCAAATCTGATGTTTTCCTTCTCTCTGGAGAATCCTTAACTTACTTTAAGTCCCCACAATGTACTACAGGAATAGCTTTGATAAGTTGTAGGATCCTATTATGTTAGTTTATTCACATTCAGGCATCACCTGGAAGCAAATTTGAGGTTGTGATGTAACACTATATATGTATGTCTGTTGCTTGTAAGTTGTATGGATGCTTGTGCTAGTTAGTGTGGATGGACGACTTGTTTTCATATAAAAGATGAAATTTGTGATGACCCTCCACCATGACTGATAACGTACCTGACACCCTAGAGAACCAAACCTGATTATGCAACCTTTTCAAATAGTTCTGTCTATGTTAGTCATGAGAGGGTACTTTGTAGGGGTTCCCTTTTATTGCATTTTGCATACTGCTTTTAGGGATAAAGTGTGTATACCTCCCTTTTCCTTTTCAGCCGTTGTTTGATGATATCTCTGATACATTCCTTGTTCCACTTGTAACTCTTATAATACCTACTGATACATTTCTTGTTCCGCTTGTCAGTATATTTTCCAGATTCGGGATCCACAGCTTGCCTGCAATGTTGATGGTTAACCGGACCACAAAAGTGCGATACGGAGGGCCAAAGGATCTTCAGTCCCTTGTGCAGTTTTATGTCAAAGCAACAGGTCATTTCTTGTTCAATGACATTTACATCTTTGTAGTTGACATGCATCTGTAGCTTTAATTCTCGCCTTCTTACTCGACATAAGATGGAACAGAAACATATTTGATTCTTCTGGTACTTCTTTTTTACATCTGAACTTTGACAGGACTTGAGCCAGTGCAATATTTGACTGAAGGTCAGGCAACACATTCACCAAATGATGAAAATAGCATTATTCTAAAGCCCTGGGATGGGTCACCAATGGAAAATATACTGAAAAGGGAGCCTTACTTGGCATTCTCGATCTTGTTCCTCTTCATCCGGTTGGCATTATTTCTATCTCCTAAACTGTTGTCTCGCCTAAAGACATTCTGTACCTCCAAGATTCCCCATCTCAACTTGGGAATATTCGGCGAGACAAGCAGCCAACTGTTTGGCCACATCCTCCACTTGGTAGATGTGAGGCGGGTTTGGACCAAACTTAGACTGTGCAAGACCAGGAATTTCCATGAGGGGGCAAAGAACTGTAGGGTCTGGGCTTCTTCCTTGGCATCGGTTTCTCTGGGGGAATCTTCATCTTCAGCTAGGTCGTGAAACGTCAGAGGAAAGAGTACCCTAATTCTTACTATGGGAGCTGAAATTCGAGGTTTAGGAGAAAGAGCTATTCGCATCCTTGCTGAGATGGTATCTGTTCCAGTGAGCTGAGATAAGTAGCCTCTCTTCTCTCTCTCTCTATCTGTCTTAAATCTCGCCCCCTCTTTTCCGAAGTCTCTCCAATCTTACTTTACTCAATGGGGGAAGAAGCTAATGAGTGATCGATAATAGGTTTCTTTCAAGTGATGTTGTACTTGCTTGTTTTCATGTTATTTCTCCCATGTTGTTCTTCTGGGTCATTTCTGGGTTTTTAGAGGAAACAAAGAACAAGCAATGTAAATTGAGAACGCAAGAAGAAGCTTTGCTTGCTTAGCTAGCTAGATCGCTCCTCCCCTCCATTTTGTGTATATTACTTCTTTCCCTTCTTTTTTCTGTTTTGACTTTTTGTAGAAGAAGAATCTCTTACACATGTGGAATGTAAGCACGTTTTGCTCCCCTTTTCGCCTCCATGCCCCTCTGTTAATCTCTCTTGTGTTGTCTTGTTCTTTGCTAATGTTAATGTGGTAGATTGGTGTTGCCATCATCCTGCTGGGATTCTCTGGCTGATAGCGTTTTGGTTCATTTCAGCTGACGTTTTGGGGATTGTGGATGAGTATTGTAGTAGAGCCGTCTTCCTAATAATGCAAACTGCAACCGTTTTGGGATTGATATGTTTGGTACTAGTTGCAGATCCAGGACCATTGTATAAAAGTGACAAGAGTAGGTTACTGTAATGCTAATTCATTAATGCCTGCTTTCTGATTTCTTGACACTTTTGTGTTGGCTTCTTTTCGCATTTTGCATTAGGAATGGTAGACAGGTAACAGAATTAACAGTATCTGTTGTTGTGAAACCTATTTCCATTATGTTAAAATCTGCTTTGAGGGGCCCAAGTTTCCATTAGGCGAACAGTAAATCTTCCTTTTCGCATCAGATGGAGCGATCTGATGGAAAAGATTTCCATTTTTCATATTTGGATAGTCTTTAGAGGGTTCCTATTTGCCGCTCGTACATTTACTAACTGCTGCCCATAATTTTAGTAAAAATGTCATTTTTGCCCCTTATCTATTTTTTATAACACAAATCTTCACTCACCACTAGCAGACCATTGCTGCCACCGCCACAGCACCACCGTCGTGGCCAAATCTCGTCCAAACGGGCGGACGGATCTCGTCCGATCTCGACAGGAGGACCGGACGGTTTCAAAACCGTCAAAAGTTCGTTGCTAAATGATAATAATTATTTAACTCAACCTTTTGTTTTTTTAGTTATTATATTATGTTAATAATTATATGTATGTTTATTTATTATATTTATAAATTAGAAAAATTATAAATTATTCATAAGAAAAAAATTATAAAAAATTATTGTACAAATTAATTCATACTTATTTTTTAATCATGTAAATAGAGCTAAAATAAATAAATTAATTATAATAGCAATTAAATAATTATTAATTATCCGAAGTAGTGTATAAGAGAATGGATATTTAATCATAAATTATCATAAATATTATATAAACTTATGAATAATTCATTTTAATTACGTAGAATAGTTATAAAACATTTATAAATTTTGATTAAACATTTTTAATTGTATTTATTTCATTGTTAATTAGATCATCCTCCCTAAACTATGTTTTATAAAACTTCCAAGGAATCGGGCACGAAGGCAAAAACATTTTTTAGCAATTACTAGAGTCACCGACATGAAAAATTATTGAAACTTTCATCGATCTCTTAAAATGTGGATACAAATGTGTTGGAATCGACTGTTTCTCAATCGGACATTCCCGGACAAAAAGATATGAATAGTGGCAAAACTTATGAATAATTCATTTTAATTACGTAGAATAGTTATAAAACATTTATAAATTTTGATTAAACATTTTTAATTGTATTTGTTTCATTGTTAATTAGATCATCGTCCCTAAACTATGTTTTATAAAACTTCCAAGGAATCGAGGCACGAAGAGGACTCTTTGCAGTTTGGGGAAGGTCGGGCAAAAATATTTTTTAGCAATTACTAGAGTCACCGACATGAAAAATTATTGAAACTTTCATCGATCTCTTAAAATGTGGATACAAATGTGTTGGAATCGACTGTTTCTCAATCGGACATTCCCGGACAAAAAGATATGAATAGTGGCAAAACTTCCATCGAGGTGTTTTTATTTTTAGGGCTCTGGGGGTGGTAACTAGGAGCTTCTTAAGCCTATCATGTATATTTCCACGATGCGAAATATTATTGTTAGTGGATGCAGAGATGATTTTGCATCTAAAATAATGTCGTAGTAGGATTGGATGGATCGAGGTTGAAGGTAGCAATTCAAGGGGAATGAGGGTTTAGGGTTTCAAAGGTGTATAAGGTATAGGAGGTGTATGAGATGCTTTCCTTCTTTATTGTCATTATTGGTCCGGTTGAGTCGAGTTGACTATTATTGTTGTTATTGGTCATCTTGAATGAGATTAATTTAACTGTGGTCAAACCCTAATCCGGGTCAAAATCTTCTTTTTGGATCTGTTAGTTGAATGTGGGTGGGATGTTAAAGTGAGTGTAATTAGGGAACTATTGTTAGACGTGGGAGGAAGTTTTTTAGGTAGTTAATTAGGAAAATAATCATATAACATGAGTTATTGGGGAGGATATTACGTTCGGTTGTTAAGTAAGGAAATACAAATTCAATTGGTGGCGAGAGACGTAAAATAGGTGGCGATAAATACAAATTAAGGTTGTTAATTAGAGGCAAAATCATATAATTTTTGGTAATCTTGGGTTAGATTTGTTCAACCGTGATTATATTATTTAACATAATAATATAATTATTAACCTTTAATCTAACTACCATTATGGTTCTTATTAATTTGAAAAAATAAATATGTTAATAAATTATATTCCATACGTGTTCGATAACTACCAGACGTGGATTGGGATGTTAATTTGAGAGTGTAATTAGGGAAATATAATTAGACGTGGGTTATTGGGGATGAATTGATTTCCGGTTGTTAATTAGGAAAATAATCATTAGATGTATTGGGAGGAAATTACGTTGGGTTGGGTTGTTAAATAGGAAAATACAGAGGTTGTTAATTACAGAAATTTCCTTCCGAAAACTTATTAGTCAAATTTCCTCTTCCGAAAACTTGCCTTAAAAAACTCTCTTTAATTTGCTTAATTATCAGATTTATAATTATTTCAAACAATATAACTATTTAAATCCTAATTATGGTATTTTACACATATTTAATTACTAAATAAATCATTAATAATTCAAAAACAATTTTTGAAAAAAAAAAGCAATAACTGTCTGACGTCGGGTCTCAGACCCCGTCTGCCGCTTGTTTTCGGACCCTGTCCGCGTCCGGGGGTCGGACCCCGTCTGTCCACGACGTTTAGCTTCTCGGCAAGCTCCTTCCTCTACGTCGACGACGATAGCACCCGCGACGAGTTCCTTCCTCTTCAACGCAGGCGACTTTGTGAGGGGAGGGAGTGAGGTTGGACGAATGGAGGGGTCGGCGGGAGCAACGATGAATGGGTCGGAGGAAAGAAGTGGTCATCTACGGCTGTTGTGGGAAGAGGGAAGAGGTTGTGAAGGATGGGTTAGATAGATTTAAGGTTAGTTGGAAGAAGGGCAAAATCGTCTTATATTTTAGAACTATGTGCGGCAAATAGTAAGTACTAGGGGGGAAATAGCGATTCATATTCTTTATGCTTATGGTGTTTGGTTATTAATAAACTCAGCCCAACTTCCGTCTTATTTGAAATAACTCATTTACCCGTTTACTCGTCTGTCACGTGTGAATGGTTCAGCCAAACGAGATATTTGAAATAATACATGTCAAATTATCACTGAAATAACATTGAAGTATCACATGAACAATTCGGTTTGTGCGGATACGACCTGCTTTATGTTGCCAAAGACGCTATGTCGTCCAAGTGAATTCATTGGATGTCCTGGCGAAAGCTTTGCGCGAGCAAGCATGATGGTGGTCTGAGATTCCGTTGCTTTGAGGAGTTTAATCAAGCCATTCTGGCGAAGGTGGGGTGGCGGATTTTGGAGGAACCAAACTCATTACTAGCCAGGATCTGTAAGGGCGAGTATTTTTCGAATGGATTCCTCTTAACTGCGAGGCCACGGTCTTGACTGTCCTGGGGATGACGGAGTGTTCTTCATGGATGCACTCTGCTCAAACAGGGACTTCAATGGAAGGTGAGAACGGGAGATATGATTGATATCGGTTCACTGACTTGGGTTCCCGGGAAGGAGAGGACTACACTACCTTTGTTGGCAACGACTCCCATTTCGAGACATGAAAATTTCTCTGTTCTAACTCGGTGGGGCGAAGGAAAGTGGTGTGATGAGTGCTTGCATGCCTGCTTCCCAGAGAGGTGGGTGAAAAAGATTAAGGCTATTCCTCTGCCTCGACTGAAGGTGGAGGATAGACTTGTCTGGACGGAGGATCCATCAGGCGTTTATATGGTTAAGTCTGGTTATCATCTTGCGTCCCGTAGATGGCGAGTTTGGGGGAAATATAAGGAGGATGTTAGCTCGATGGATAGGAAGCTTTGGGTGACTATTTGGTCTTTCCAAGTGCAACCAAAGCTGAACTTCTTCATGTGGCAGATCTTTTGTCTCATCCTACCTACCACGGAGGCTCTGCTGGAAAAGGATGTTGAGGTTGAGGGTCGTTGCCCAGTTTGTTGGGCGGAGTTGGGAACAATGGAGTCCGTTGCTTTGAGGAGTTTAATCAAGCCCTTCTGGCGAAGGTGGGGTGGCGGATTTTGGAGGAACCAGACTCGTTACTAGCCAGGATCTGTAAGGGGGAGTATTTCTCGAATGGATTCCTCTTAACTGCGAGGCCACGATCTTGACTGTCCTGGGGATGACGGAGTGTTCTTCATGGATGCACTATGCTCAAACAGGAACTTCAATGGAAGGTGAGAATGGGAGATATGATTGATATCGGTTCACTGACTTGGGTTCCCGGGAAGGAGAGGACTACACTACCTTTGTTGCAACGACTCCCATTTCGAGACATGAAAAGTTCTCTGTTCTAACTCGGTGGGGCGAAGGAAAGTGGTGTGATGAGTGCTTGCATGCCTGCTTCCCAGAGAGGTGGGTGAAAAAGATTAAGGCTATTCCTCTGCCTCGACTGAAGGTGGAGGATAGACTTGTCTGGACGGAGGATCCATCAGGCGTTTATATGGTTAAGTCTGGTTATCATCTTGCGTCCCGTAGATAGCGAGTTCGGGGGAAATAGAAGGAGGATGTTAGCTCGATGGATAGGAAGCTTTGGGTGACTATTTGGTCTTTCCAAGTGCAACTAAAGCTGAACTTCTTCATGTGGCAGATCTTCTGTCCGATTTTTACCGGTCCGACCGACCAGTCTGGTTTTCATAACACATTTATCAATGTCATAGGCTTTTATTTGTACTACTTGGTACGCAAGTAGTACACCTCAGTTATGTATCTAACGAACAAGATCGCGAAGCGTGGAAATCTAATGGGGTATCAACGTCAACTTCAATTCTGGAACGTGTGTACTGAAACGTGTACTGGAGTGTTGTATTTTGATGGGAACGTTGGAGGTAATCTGCTTGCGTACGTATGAAAAATGGTGATGGAGAAATATAATTGTCAATTGCAAGAAGGGAATTAAGGTTCTGATGCCAGCCGTCGGCGTGAGAAGAGGGACACTTGTGTCGGTTGTCGGCTTCGATGTGGGAGCTCTTGCCCATTTTTCTTTCCCTCCTTCTCTCTCCTCGAAAAACCTTTAATTTTCCTTT